TGACGAAGGTGGCGCACTTCTTACCCGTTTCGATGAAGATGTCTCTGGACAAGTTGGCTGAGATATACACCCGTGGGATCATCCGACTCCACGGAGTGCCCGTCACGATTATATCAGATCGAGATCCCAGATTCGTTAACCGATTCTGGCACAGCTTGCATAAGGCGATGGGCACCAAGCTTGAGTTCAGTTCGGCCTACCATCCAGAGACAGATGGTCAGTCAGAACGGACGATTCAGACACTCGAGGATATGCTACGCGCCTTGATTGTTGATAGGGGTGCCAAGTGGGAGTCGCTGTTGCCGTACGCAGAGTTTGCGTATAACAACAGTTATCATTCCTCTATTCAGATGGCTCCTTACGAGGCACTTTACGGTCGCAAGTGTCGTTCCCCTCTCTATTGGGACGACGTCGGAGAGCGACGAGTACTCGGTCCTAAGATGATCGAGAAAACAGCTGAGCAGGTCGAGTTGATCCGGCAGAGACTCAAGACAGCCCAGAGTCGACAGAAATCTTCCACCGATCATCATCGACGAGATATCCAGTTTGAGGTTGGCGAGCACGCCTTTCTCAGAGTTCGCCCGGTTCGCGGAGTAGTGCGATTCGGCAAGAGAGGGAAGCTGCACCCTCGTTTCATTGGTCCGTTCGAAGTTCTCGAGCGAGTTGGCGAGGTCGCGTATCGTCTAGCCCTACCTCCCGAGTTATCAGGCATTCACAATGTATTTCACGCATCTATGTTGCGTAAGTACGTGTGCGACCCCGATCATGTTATCCCTCACACGGATATTCAGGTTCAGCCAGACTTGTCGTACGAGGAGCGACCGGTAGCTGTACTAGACCGTCAGGTACGTCGGCTCCGGAAGCGAGATATTCCCCTCGTGCGCATTCAGTGGGATTGCCATGGAGCTACCTGGGAGGAAGAGTCGGACATTCGCGCTCGTTTTCCAGATTTCCAGTTTTGATGTACATATTATGTTATCCTATGTACATAGTTCATGTGTAGTAGTCATGTTTTAAATTTCCGAGGACGGAAATTTTGTAAGGAGGGAGGATTGTAATATCCCGATATGTAATCGGTATAAATTATGTTTAATTCTGATATAATAATGTTATCGTTTATTATTTTCGGAATTAATCGGGATTACCGAAATCTATTTCCGACGTACCGTAAACGTTCGGAATAATTTTGGTAATTAAGCATTATGTTTAATTGAATAATTAAACATATATTAGTGATTAATTGTTCATTAATCCTACTTAAGTGATACTTAGCCGAGTGATTGCGCATTATGCAAGTTAATAAGTAAGTTAAGTGTTGGTATTAAGGTTAGTGTCAAGTACACATCATTAGTACATGATCAGATTTAATTTCAAGCTTATCGTCATGAGAATTGGTCTTCATTTTTTTCACGTGAGTAGCATCATTACAAGTTATGTAGGTGGCACTTAGTTAGTATTCCAATTGGTGACTAAGCTCTTCATTGTACACCTAAGCCTTTTTATGCCTAGCAAATGGCACGCAAGGATTGGCCATGATTTTCACCTATATTCACCCAAATTTTTATTCCCTTTCACTTCGGTTTTATGACAGAGAAGTTGGGGAAAATTAGGCATTACTCTTATAAAATAGTTCAGCAAATATTAAGTAAAAATCAAGCAAGATTAGCACTATTCCTTATACGGCAATCGTCCCAAGCACGCGGAACAGCCGAGTCCGAGAGGTGTTGCATAATTCATCAGGCGAACTTGTGCAGGTAGCCTTGTCTTCTTCACCTGTCACCATTTTAGGTTAATTTATAACCTTTCAATCCATGTTGGTCGAGAATTTTTCTAAACTGGTCGAGTGTTGGGTTCAAGGCCAAAGACCGCGCACGGTGCGCGTGTCTCGGCAAAGTTCATGTTAGGAAGTAAGTACCACTGGACTAATCAAATAGAATAGTTCATATTATATTAAATTAAGGCATGTTATATATTGCATCATGTTTAAGTGGTCGAGTAAAGTTATGGTTTAGTCGATGAATTGGTTATAGGGCCGTAGGCCGCGCTCGGACACACTTTATGGGTTAGTGCAGTCTTTGAGCAAGAGTCATGCTTATAGTTGAATTCAATTAATTTAATTATGTTAAATTAGTTATGTTGTATTATGTGGGAGTTGCCGGAAATTATCGTCGGACGGCCGACGAGGGTCGGTCGTATACATGTTGTTCGCACATCGCGGGCGCAGTGTACCGGCGGAGATGCAGGACATGCGGTACAGTGCTGCGAGTAATCTGTACCCGCAACAAGTAAGTCGTTGGCGATGTACGTACACACGCCAACACTCAGCTACGCGCGCGCTAGCGTGCAGTATAGCACGCCAATGGCCTCGGCAGTGCCCAGTCGGCGGCCCGAGTGCCCAGCATCGCAGGGGTCGCGCGGTAGCGCCCCGCATGAGGCCAGTCATGGTTGTCCAGCGCCGGTATGCGTTCGATAACCCTCAGCTGCACGTTGTGATGAACGGGATCACACGACTGTGCCCAGTTGCGCGATAGCCGCCAGTCCGGTTTAGCTGACCAACCGTCCGGTCCAGATCGGTTCTGACCGGTTGGGCCGGTTCAGTCCCAAATTTTTACGGTTTAATCCGTATTTTAATAGGTTCAGCCCCGGTTCTTAGTTCAGTGTCTATTTCAGTCAAATTTCCGATTTCAGTTCAGTCCAGTATAATAATACCGGTTCAGCTCCATTTTGTCCGGTTTAGCCTGTTTTGAGCCCGGTTTAGTATTTTGAGTCATTTCAGTAAATTTCCGGGATTATTCCAGTTCGGAAAAATCATGTCCAAATCAGTTCAGATTAATTCAGTTCCGGTTAATCCGGATAAGTCTAAAAATCAGATTAAGTTTAATAGAGCATCTGAACGAGATTAATCAGTTAATTTAAGCAGTCTGAGCATAGTCAATAGTAATTGTTTATATTATATT